TCCGGGGGGGGGGGGGGGGGGGGGGGGGGGGGTTTGGCACTCCAGCCAAAAAACATTGCCTATCCCTGCACTATATTTATCATGGGCAATGAAAAGGCTTGTCAGTTTTACTTCCATTTATTACATCCACACTGTAAATGTCACAGAAAAATGTTTATGACAAAACAAAAAACAATGCATTCATTTTTTTTTAACTAACTCATGGAAACTTTTCTACTGGACTTTGGTTTTACACAAATTCTTTGAAAAGTTGCAAATTGTAAGTTGGACTTAAAATGTCCTTCACAATGTTCATTTTCAAACCATTGTTACTCACTCTCTCAGGATCTGAACTGTGCTCTGCAGGGAACCTGCTTTCAAGGAATCTAAGATGAGTATACAAGGCCTGCAGAGAATGAAAAGAAAAAAGGTCAGCCTCATATTTCATTTTGCAGTGTCTAATTAAAGTTTGAGTGAGAAAGGAGTTTTAAAACTTTGTGACAGAACTTCAGTAGTAATATCAAGTAGAAAGATAAGTGACTGGCTGGGGAAGTCTGAACTGAGTGTGCTCATGGGTATTTTTATGATATGAAGACTTGAAGTAATTCTCCTAATATATTGAGTGTAGACATCTAAATGCTATTGCATTATGAAAGCACAAACTTACCTTTTACAAATTTTCTGTGGGTTGGAATCATTTAAGGAGCTCTGAAAAAAAAGTTACAATTTACAAGCAATATCCAGAAAAGGCAGAGAATTACTGAATACTGTCAGTCATCAACTGAAAACTGATGAAATAAGTTACTATTGTGGAATTGAATTTCACAGGTTCCTTAATCCCCTGGAAAGATGCAGGCTCCCAAACCAGCTGGGCACATGTGTAGCCACAGCCAACAGTTGTATAGAACCACTGAGGTGCTCCAACTGTTTGCCCTGGTGCTGCTTCTCCAATCAGTTCTATGGAACCCACTGATAAGCTCCAGATGAGAGGGTAAATGACAGCCTTCAAAGTATAAGTTGCAGCATCCAGCTGAGCAGCTTGTCCTTCCTTCAGCAACCTGCTGCAAGCAAAGTGAGTTGCAAATGACTCGGGCCCAAAAGACCTGGCTTTTCCTGTACCTAACAAAATGTCTGGGATACATTCAAGATAAACATCAATGCATTTCACTAAAACATTAGCAAGGAAGAGAGTCAGTGTCAACTTGAATTCTGCTCACCAGCCCATTCCAAGTCACAGCATTAAGCCACTTCTACTGTCTGGTACCTGAAGAAGGAAGAGGCCATGGCCCCTTCTTCCTATGTCCAAATGCTAGTTCTGACTAGGTCCTTGGCAGGACTTCAGAAGACTTCTATCCCTCAGTGCTTAAATTTTTGGACCCACAGGCCAAATGAAGGGTGCAGAGCTGGTCTGTGAGCCGAAAAGGCGCCTGCATGCCAGGATTGGGCCCAGAGGGCCCCATGTGCTAGAATTGGGCTCCAACGCCCTCTGCCATTCCCTGCATGCTGGGATAAAGCCTGGTGCCACCATGTGTGCCTCATGCCACACCCCACAGGGCTCCCCACACACCATGGTTAGTCCTGTAGGCTGGAGGAGTTGGGAATTGGGCACCCCTGGTTGAGAAGAGTGATGCTCAGCCTATGGCCTGCGGGTCTCCTGATGCATGTAGAGATGACATGACCCTATATGTTAGATCGTGTTAGTATGTGAGGCTGCTTCATACCTGGGTCTGGCCAGTGTGCAATCCAGCCCACAGACTGGCCTCGAGGACAAGATGCAGCCACTTGTCTGGCCTGCGGGGCTGGATAGGTTAAGCGCCACTACTCTAACAAGATATATTGCACTGGTTCACATATTACACTAATTCTCAATTTAGTCCAGCAGTCCTCAAACTAGAGGTCATGATCCTATGATAAAGGAGGTACTTAATTTACAACACTCAGGCTCTTATCAAAAGTACAAAAAAGTGCTTGTGCAAAGAATTTAGGAATCACTAATGCAACCCATAATCTTTCTTATAACTATGGCCTGGTGTAAATTGTGGGCCCAGCTCACTAATATTGTGGCCCGATTGTGGCAGAGGCCACCATTTTTGTGCCTACATGGTGGTACCCCTGCTCACCCTCCCACAACACACCTCCTGATTGGCTGATGGTGCAGGTTTAGGATCAGGTTTAATTGCAGCAGCAGAAGCCTCTCCCCCAAGGCCTCTGATCACTGCAGCAGCAAAAGCCTAGCAGCCCAGGGGAGAGGGAAAGGGGTCACAAATGGAAGAGGAGGAAGAGAATGCTTGGGGATAGGGATAGGGATGGGGAGGGGAGGGGCTGTTTGCTCCTCTGGGTGGATTCACTCAACAGCTTATCTTCCATTTCTACTACCTCCCTGCATCTTCCATTTCTACTGCTTCCCTACCAATCTTTAAGAGACAAGGCAACAATTACCACTTCCAGCTTGCAGTCAGCTGGACAAGAATGAAGCTACTATAGTGAAAAGTAACCCAAATATCAGGAACTTCAATCATCCCACCAAAAAACAGCATGAATTCAGATTCAGAGATTACAACTTTGCAACCCCCCCCCCCCCCCCAAAAAAAAACCTACAAA